GGGGGGGAACCCCCCGCCCGAGCCATCCCCCCTCTCCGGGGCCTGCTTGGTTGCTGTTGCTGGGCCTTCCCTCTGGGAGATGACCGTGAGGGGAGCGGCAGGGCCAAGGGACCCTCTTCCAGGGCGATTTTCGTAGGCTTTAGACGTGGCGTGTGAGGAAACGCTCCCTGTGTGCGCTGCGGTGCTGGAGGTGACAGGGCCATCGTGCCGCAGTGTGCTGTCCCGGCGGCAGTGGGCTCAGGGCAAGGTGACTCGGGCAGCGCTGACAGGAATAAGTTCGTGGGCTGTAAGTTTAGCAGTATTGTCAGTGAATTACAGCTGGTTATCTTATGTGCCCTTCTTTATTTCTGCTTGCATCTCTAGCCGCTTTTTTGCAGGATTTTCTGACGAAGGACGTAGTTACTTTAGCAGACAGAAGCTGACGTTGGAATATTATTTTGTTAATTTTTGCTCGGCTTTTTTTGCAGTCAGTTATGCTTTCTGGGCCTTGTGGGATAAATAAGTTTGAATTAAAGGAATTGAACGTTTCCAGGGTAATGTATATTCACAATTCTCATAACCGTCTGTGAATGTACATGGGAGCTGAAGTGATCTGCATGTTGCCTATGAGGTTGTGTGAGTCAGCCCTCACAAAATAGTCCGTTTAAGAAATAAAAACAAAGTTTAGATGTAGAAAATTGCTGTTTGGTGGTTAGTGCAGAGAACAGCAGTGCTATGAAAAAGGTGAAGGGTCACTGTGGTTTTATAGTTTAGTTTACATTGTTTGGGATTTTTTTTTTTATTGTTAAGGAATACATTTCATGTAAAGTTTTTTGCAGCATAGATGTCCATAAAATGTCTTTGTCAGAGCAGTGAAAGTTTGCTATCTCTTAATATTTATTGTGAAACTAGGTCATGTGGAAAATTCCCACTGGATTTTGTTAGAATTGATAAATAAAATTACTTCTGATGCTTGATTCTGAACAGTATTATTGTTAATACTCTCAGGTTGTGTTGAAACAGATGTGAGCTGCCGCTCTGGGTGAGCAGTGAAATTGAAATGTTTACTGTTGTCATCTGTCATCTATAGATTTCTACTCATATAATCATTTATCCAGATGGGCTTGATTTTTTTTCTTTTTTCTCTTTTTTCTTTAAAAAAAAAAAATCACTGATAGTGGTCAAGTCATGAGTAGCAGACAAGAAATGCTTTTATGTTTTGTATTTTAATTTGCCTTTGTTTTTCTGTCCTATGAAAGGGATTGTTTTGACTAAATAGCAGGTGTTAATGCACATTGAACTTATTTCTACTGTAAATGTGACACTATTTTTATGCTCCTTTTGGAAGAGAAATGCTATATCAGTGCTTAAAAAAATAAAAATAAATCTCACATACCCGTTAAGTTTGAAATCACCTGCTCTTATCTCCTCTGTTTGCTAAATCAGATGTTTGCTTGGACCCTTCCTTGAATAGATCTAACGCTCATGGCCAGCAGAGGAAAAATGGCCTCCCCAGGTTACTTTCCTGCTGTTTCAGGTGAGTTAAATTTGTTCATGGAAGGATCCAGCACACCCCAGAGTCAACAAAAGATGAGTTACAGGAGATCCCAGTTGAGAGTGTCTGTAATGAAAAGGACTCATTTGGACCTTCCCCCTTCAGCAGTGATGAACTGTAAGAAATCTGTCCTGTACTGTTTTTTCTGTTTCTTTTTATTTTTGTGATTTTTCTGATGCTTGTCTTGGTCTGTCTGAGATAATTTAGCTCATCAGGTTAAATACTAACAGTGGCGGTTCAGTGAGTGGAATCATCTTGTGGAAGTCAGCTGAGCACTGTACCCACCCCATGGAAGTGAGAGACGGGAGCTGTGTGTTCAGATTGCCTTTTTTGCATCAACAGACTGCTAAATAAATCTGGAAAATTATTTTTTAAATCAGATAGATATACCTGCAGAAGGGGGTGAGGGGGAACACATCCTGCTCCTGTCTTTTGTGTACTTGTTTAGGGTTCCAACTATAAATCAGGCCCGCCTAACTCAGAAGGGATTTATCAGACAGTATGTGTCAGACTTGATTATTCCATTAAAATTTCGTTATCTTCTCATTTATTTGGGAAGAAGCTGATACATGAGTCTTTTAGCACCTCTGAATGCTATTGCAGTGGCTGGGTTAAGTGTGGTTTACTCAGGTGTGCTGTTGCCTCACCGAAAGGGAAACAAAGCTAAGGTTCAGCATGTGTGATTTGAGATGCATGATATGTTTAATATTCTCATCCTAGTGCACCTCTATTCATTAGTCTCCAGTAAAAAAAATCTTGTGCTCTGAACTTGCTTAGTCTTCAGTGGGGAAGCAGAATGCAAGCCAGGAAATTGCAGCCCATGTTTAGCAGTTGCACAGCCATGAGCCATGAATCTGACTCTTAGATCTCCCATCAGTCACAGCAAGAATATTTGCTATGGATATATAGGTATCTACAAACATAAAGGGCTGTTCCCAAGATAATTACAGTACAGCTTTGTGTTATATTTAAATGCCCTCTAACTGTAAACTGCCAGGGAAAGGCTTGATGCCCCTCTCTGCACCACTTCCTTTGCATCAGCTACAGCAATAGTGCAGTTCAGGGACCACTTCTGCATTCCCCTACCACAGACAGCGTGGATGAGTGCCCGCAGGAACGCTAGCACACGTGCTCACTTTGGATTCAGTGATTATAGTAACTTTTTTTCTGGTGTAGATTGTGTCTTTTTTTAGTATCAAGCTGTAAAACTTCTCTTGTGGTGCAGCTCAAGATTTTGAGATAGACAGGTTGCCAAACTGGAGGACTTTGTTTGCTGCCTTACCCTGGTTTCATCCAGTACAGAAGTCCTTACCTGCTGCTTTGTAGTGTTATACAATGTGTCTTCTACAGATCCTGTCAACTAGCTGAACCCTTGGAGTTTGCTCCGCTTTCCTTTTCCTGAACACAGAAAATAGAATCATAGTGGTTGGAAAAGACCTTTAAGGTCATTGAGTCCAACCATTAACCCATCACTACCAGTCCCATCTCTAACCCATGTCCCTAAGCACCTCCTCTACCCATTTTGTAAATGCCGCCAGGGACGGTGACTCCACCACATCCCAGGGCAGCCTTTTCCAATGTTTGACTACCCTTTCTGTGAAGAATTTTTTCCTAATATCCAATCTAAACCTCCCCTGGTGCAACTTGTAGCCATTTCCTCTTGTTCTGTCACCCATTACACAGGACAAGAGACCAACACCCACCTCTCTACAACCTCCCTTCAAGTAGTTGTAGAGAGCGATAAGGTCTCCCCTCAATCATAGTAATATAAAGTGGAAAGAGCTAAGAATTCCAGAGTTGTGGAGAAGATATATGAGATTCCAAAATTAATACCTTTGCTTTTTCCCTTTACATGCTTAGGCTTAGTTCACTCTTATTTGTTAAAGTGCTTGGATCTGCTGTCTTAAAGCTGGTGAATCCTTCTTCTACCAGGAAGACCATGTATCCCTTTTAGTTTTAGTCAAAGTGAAACAGAATTGGAAACAGTGACAAATGTAGAAGTTGTGTGGACTGGTGTGGTCATTTACTGCTTCTAGCATGAATTTTCTTAATCTTTGCCCTTTTGATCAAGGTGAATTAGTTGTAGTGTGGGGTTTGGGGTTTTGGGGGGTTTTTTAAGAGTAGCTAAAAAGGTAATTACGCAGCAAATAAGTACAACTTTCCCCTTCCTTGGTGGGTGACCTAGCTTATGTTCTTGTTCTTAACTTGTCCTGTTGCGTTTTTTCTACTTGTATGGGAACCACAGAGCTCGCCCTCCTAACACAGCAATGACCACAAAAATAGTGGGGCAGGAGAGGAGATAATTTAAGGCACAGGTTCCTCAAGATTTTGAGGAGAGATGTTGCTTCTCTCCGCTTATGGCACTCAGACTATCTCCCAGTCTCCTTTTTCACAGATTTTGTGCAGGCTTTTTTGTTAAGCTTTCATTTGTAGGTCAGCTTTCCTGCAAAGCTTGTGTGACATGAGGAGCCAACTTGGACCTTATTCAGAGGTCTAAATGCATCCTATGACGTATTTTAATTCTTTTTTTGGCTTTGCTTGATCCTTCCAACTGAAATCGTGGGAATAAATCTAAAAGACGTTAATTTTTGCATTTTGGCAGATCTGTTATCCTAAAAGAAACGTTTGGGTTTGTAAATACTAGTTCTGCTGTATTTGACGTAGCCACACTTTTTATAGTTGTTTTTAACTTTTTTGTTTGTTTTCAGATGGTGAACTAAATGTTCTGGATGACATTTTGACCGATGCTCCTGACCAAGATGATGAGTTGTATAACCCTGACAGTGAGCAAGATAAAAGCGAGAAAAAGGGTAGGTGACTGGTAGTGGACGTCCTGCAGGAACATAAATGGTAAAAACAGCCTTTCTTAGTAGGGTTAAAGTCTTTGAAGTAGTGGCTCTTAATAACCACATTCAAGGAGTGAAAGAGTTCCAGAAGACTTTATTTCATGGGCATCTGCTTTTTCACCTGGCCTTCCAGGCAAACAGTTAACTAAGTTTCCTTTTGTCTCAAAAGCAGTTGCTGAGTCTGGCTCATTGTGAATTCTTTTGCTGTTAGAAAATGACTGTCCCTTTTTTGGTTTAATGAAGTGAAGTGGAAATGGAGGAAGGGGCTCTCCAAGTCTGTTTCCAGCTCAGTTCTTGGTTTGGCTTTAGGCCAATCCCATAAGCATTTAATTTAGCATTCCATATATAAAGTTTAGAAGACACCTACCGAAGCCTAAAGGATTGCTCTTTTAAAGCAAAGTGTGTTTTAGAACATGAGCTGTTCCTAACAAGCAGTTTTGAGTGTTGTTGCAAAGCCTACAACTGGAAGATGCTACCTGTGACTGCAACAGGGGAATTACCCACAGTAGAAAAGTAGGAGCCTCTGCACAGTTTTTGGTTTGATTTACAGAATAACATTGAACTTGATTTCTCTTTCTGTTTAAGGATCAAAAAGGAAAACTGACAGGATGGAAAGCGCTGAAAGCAAGAGACAAAAACCTTCTGTGCATTCATCAAGGCAGATGATGCCAAAGCCTCCTAGTTCATCAGTTAGCAATAACAAGAGAATAGTGAGTACGAAAGGAAAACCAGTATCAGAGTACAAGAACGAGGAGTACCAGAGGTCTGACAGAAACAAGCGCCCAGATGCTGATCGAAAGATGCGCATGTCGAGCAGCTCCAGGGAACCTTACAAAGGACAACCAGAAAAAACTTGCATGAGGAAGAGGGATATTGACAGAAGGGCGAAGTCTTCTACACCAGATGGTTCAGAGGTATTAAATATTCTTGCTGCCTTATAAATAAAGCAATTATATGAGACTTTTATAAGGCACATTCTCTTAGGACTTGTGCGTGCATCCTGACAATGTTATATGACTGCTGATTACTTTTTCTTTAAACATCAGAGAATCAGGCATGATGTGGATAGAAGACCAAGCAGATCCAGCCATTCTTCTAAAGAAGAGGTGAACTCTGAGGAATATTGTTCAGATCATGAGACTGGCAGTAGTGGTTCCTCTGAACAAGGCAATACAGAGAATGAGGAGGAGGGAATGGAAGAGGAGGAAGATGATGAAGGGGAGGAGGACGAAGAAGTGGAGGAAGATGGGGAGGAGGATGAAGAAGAGTATGAACAGGATGAGAGAGATCAGAAGGAAGGAAATGACTATGACACACGAAGTGAAGCCAGCGATTCTGAGTCTGAATCCGCCTCTTTCACAGATGGGTCAGTCAGATCTGGGTCTGGTTCAGATGCATCAGGTAGGTAACATCTGGCATGGTAATCTGAAACACCTTGCTGTTGAAAGTTTGGCTGCTTTTAAAATTAACCACTTCCTGCCTGTGTCAAAAGTAAGCCTTAGTAGCACAAGTTAGTAAGATGTTAATTATGAAATACCATAGGCAAGGAGAAAATGTTCTGGGAAGTGGTATTTCCTTGTACCAAAACTTGTGAATATCAGGAATACCGTGCTGAGGATTCATAGTGTTCTTGATTGCTCTGGCCTTGCTGGTCAGTGCTTTGAAATGGTCACTTGGTCTGTTCAACCAAGTAACAAGCGATAGGACAAGAGGAAATCATAGAACGGTATCGGTTGGAAGGGACCTTAAAAGATCATCTGGTTCCAACCCCCCTGCCATCAGCAGGGACACCTTCCACTAGACCACGAAGTTGCGCCAAGGGAAGTTTAGATTGGATATGAGGAAGAATTTCTTTCCTGAAAGGGTTCTCAGGCACTGGAATGGGTTGCCCAGGCCAGAGTGGAGTCCCCATCCCTCCCTGGAGGTATTTAAGAATTGTCTAGACGTAGTGCTTGGGGACATGGTTTAGTCAGGGAC